TCCGCCCTCTCGTTTTGATTGGCCGCGGCGCCCGACGGAGGGAACGAGCGGACCAATGGGAGCGGCGCCGGCTTTCCCACCCACCTCACTTCCGGCCCCCCCCCCACCACACCCCAACGGCTATAAAAGCGCGACGCCCGAGTGGCCACGCGTCCAGTGTCCGGAAGCGGCTGACGGCGACGGAGGAGTAGTAGACGGAAACGGTAGCGAGAAGGCGGAGGAAGCGGCAGCGGGTGGTGGTGGTGGTGGTGGTTGGTGGTGTGGAGTAGGAGGAGGAGAGGCGGCGGCACGACCCCGCGCACCATGCCCGCTTGCGGCGGCGGCAAAGGCACGGCGGCCAAGAAGAGGATCGCCAAGAAAGTCGCCGCCGCCGCCAAAGTGACCAGGAAGGGCAGTAGCAGCAGCAGCGGCGGCGGCGGCGGTAGCAGCGGCGGCGGCAGCGTGGCCGGGGCCGGGGCCGGGGGGAGGCGGCGCCGCCGCAAGCGCAGGACGCAGAGCTACACCTCGTACGTGTACAAGGTGCTGAAGCAGGTGCACCCGAACACGGGCATCTCGTCGTCGGCCATGAGCGTCATGAACTCGTTCGTCAACGACATCTTCGAGCGCATCGCCTGCGAGGCCTACTACCTGATCCAGTACAGCAAGCGGCAGACCATCTCGTCGCGGGAGATCCAGACGGCGGTCCGGCTGCTGCTGCCGGGGGAGCTCGCCAAGCACGCCGTGTCCGAGGGCACCAAGGCCGTGACCAAGTACACCAGCTGCAAATGAGGGCCGGGGGGTGGGGTAAAGGAAGAGGAGGGAGGACCCCCCCCCCGCGCCCCTTCTTTCTCCACCTTCATCCCTTTCCCTCCCTCCATCCCCTCTCTCTCCCCCTCTTTCTCAGTCAACCGATCGCCTCCTCACTTCCAGCAGCGAAACTCGACCAAAACAAAAAAAAAAAACCCTTCAAAATGAATAAAAGTATTTATATCTACGGATTTATTTATTCTCGTTGAATTTCACCTTTTCTCGTTTTCCTTCCCTTCCGTCCTCTCGCCTCCGAACTGTTGATTGCACTCTTTCCTCCCCCCCACACACTAAAATAAAGCAACGATAACCTTAAAATAACTATTTTTTATTCCTGTTATTTTTTTTCTGGTTGCTGTTACTTGCTCTTATTGACTACTTTCCTTCCTCTCCCACTTGATGACCGCCTTCCCCCGTTCCCCGTCCCGTCCCCCCAAAAGAAAGCGAAGGTTTTAATTTTTTTACCCGACGATAAATTAAATTATTTAACACATATTCTTTTTAAAAAAAGGCTCTTTTAAGAGCCACCCAAACCCCCGGCGACGCCAAAAGGAGCTGATCACGTGTGTCGTAAACCTTGCGCTTGATAACGGCGCCTTATGCGTTCGAGACGTCTCGAAGCGCTTCACGGAATACACGGCGATACGGCGTAGTGACTGGGAGATGCGCGGCGGCCGGTTGCGCACCGCGACGTCCCTCAAAGAGTCGTGGATTGAGTGACCACATTCATGATTCGCAGTGTTTTTCAAAGGGGTTATTTCCCTCGGAAAAGAATACTTCATATTATTACAGTATGAAGTACGTGATTTTTTTGTTGGAGGGATTATTGTCCTATATATATATATATATTACATACAGTCAAATTCAGTTCACAGCGTATCCTGTAAAGTGCTTTGAGACGTCTCAAACATGTGATGAGACGCTATATCAAATGCAAGGATTATTGTTATTATTATTGTAATATGTATTTAATCCCCAATTTAAAACAAAAAACAATAATAAATTGGTCATTTTCAATCGACGACTGTTTGTGGGACATTGCTGTGCGCAATTGGCTGCCGCGTTCGCCCACAAATATACAGTCAATTCACTTTACAGTGTGTTCTGTGAAGCGCTTTGGGACGTCCTCCCGACGTGAAAAGCGCTATATCAAATGCAAGGATTATTATTATTATTATTATTATTATTATCTATCTCTAAGAGATATACACTAATTTATACCCGACAGATGTAAATAATCTTGCAGTTCTGGTATCATCCTTGTAAATCTCCTTTGCACCTTCTCCAGGGCCTCTCTAACCTTTCTGTAATATATATAGATATTTATATCTTACATACAGAGATAGATCTATAAGATATACATATTACAGAAAGGACATAGAGGCCCTGGAGAAGGTGCGAAGGAGATTTACAAAGATGATACCAGAACTGCAGGAAAGGCCGAACATGCCTGGACTCCTTTCTCTTGAAGGTGACCTAACAGAGGTCCTTAAAATGATGAAAGGATTCGACATAGAGAATAATAATAATAATAATAATAATCCTTGCATTTGATATAGCGCTTTTCACGTCGGGAGGACGTCCCAAAGCGCTTCACAGAACACACTGTAAAGTGAATTGACTGTATATTTGTGGGCGAACGCGGCGGTCAATTGCGCACAGCGATGTCCCACAAACAGTCGTGGATTGAAAATGACCAATTTATTATTGTTTTGGTTTTTTTGGAGGGATTATTATTAGGCTCTGTGTGGAGTAAGGAAACTTGCCCGAGGTTTCGCTCTGACCTGCCTGGGATTGAAGATGTTTCCTCTTGTGGGGGAGAGCAAAAACCAGGGGCATCAATATAAAATAGTCACAAATACAGCAACAACAACAACAAGATTACATTCGTATTGCGCCTTTCACGTCGGGGGAGGACGTCCCAAGGTGCTGGACCGGGTACAGCATTTCAGACCCGAGCTGGGGGTCGGGGTGTGGGGTGGGGTGGGGGGTGAGGGAGGGGAAGGCAAGGGGGGGGGGGGCGGCTGATGGCATGGCCGAAGATCAAATAGATCAAATAGAGAAGTTAGAAGAAATGCCTTCACACAAAGAGTAGCGGGAATGTGGAATGTGCTACCACGAGGAGTAGTTGCATTTAAGGGGAAGCGAGACAGGTGCACGAGGGAGAAAGGAGTAGAAGGTGATGCCGAGAGGCTTAGTTGAGGCCCACAAACAGTCCCGGATAAGGCGCTGTGTCAAATGCAAGGATTATTATCGTTAACATTTCGCAGTTCGTTCTACCGGACGTTGCGAATGGCTCTTAAAAGGGCAGGAGGAGGATCGCGTGCAGCATAAATGCTGGTGTAAAACCAGTTGGGCCGAACGGCCTGTTTTCTGTGCTGCATAACCTTCTATTCCTTCCTCCCTCGTGTACCCCTCGAGCTTCCCCTTGAATGCATCCATGCTATTCGCCTCACCTACTCCTTGTGGCAGCACGTTCCACATTCCCACGACTCTCTGTGTGAAGAAATTACTTCTAACTTCCCCATTTGATCTATTTGTGACTGTTTTATATTGGTGGCCTCTGGTTTTGGTCTCCCCCACAAGAGGAAACATCTTCCCTCCATTTAATTAATCTATAACACATAATATATCTATATAAAGTGAGCAACACGTTAATATACAATAGGTAATACATATATATGCAGATATTAATCACTCACGGCTGCTCGTTCTATTATGCACTGTCTGCATTTTATTCCAACGCACTTTAATCCTCTTTAATGCACTTCTTGCTCTATTAGAGAGTCTCTGCTCTTTTCTCTCTCGAACCACTGTGCACTTTGCTTCTCGCCAGAATATCTTGTCTGAGGCGACACACACACACACACACAACACAGCAACTGAACTCACGGAGAAAGAGAAAGGGAGACAAGAGCGGAGCAAGTTATTGTAGATTTCCACTGTCAAGCGCTCTGGGACTCTACACCGCATGAGGAGCGCTTTATCAATGCAAGTTGTTTGCGTTCACAGAGAAAAAGAGGGAAGAGAGGTAGAAAGACAGAGACCACCACTACCCCCACCCCCAGAGAGAGAGAGAGAGAGAGAATGTAAGAGAGAGAAAGAGCGAGAGAGAGAGTGAGAGCGTGACTCACGCTCTCTCTCTCACACTCTCACTCTCTCTCCCACACACTCACTCTCTCTCTCTCACACTCACTCTCTCTCACACAGAGAGAGAGAGAGAGAGGGAGAATAGAGTCCGCCAGAGATTGAGATCACCAAAGGGTGGCCTTGATCCTGACATTCAGCCTCTCTGCTCCCGCACTCTGCAACTCTACCCCACAACCTGTCAACCTCACCCCCTCTCCGGCCTTCCCGTCTAAAGAAATTCCTCTTCCACCGTACGTTCGGTCACCTTCAGCCAAAATATTGCTGACTTCAATCCACGACTGTTTGTGGGAGGGACAGTGCGCAATTGGATGCTGCGTTTCTCCCACAAAATGCGGTCGAAGCCCCTTCCAGTGTATCCAGCGAAGCGCTTTGAGGCGTCTTGAAGACGCGATAAGGTGCCGCGTCAAACGCGAGGATTATTATAGCACCGTATCGCGTCTTCGCGAGACGTCTCGAGCAACGCTTCAGAGTACGACTGTGTGAGGTAACGATGTCTGTGGGCGATACAACAACAACAACAACAAGATTCCATTTATAGAGCGCCTTTCACGTCAGGAGGACGTCCCGAGGCGCTGCACAGTTGGGTCATGACCCGAGCATTGGGGAAATGGTCAGGGTGAGGGGAGGGAAGGGAGGGAGCGAGGAGGGGGGAAATGGTCAGGGTGAGGGGAGGGAGGGAGGGAGCGAGGAGGGGGAAATGGTCAGGGAGGGAGGGAAGGGGGAGGAGGGGGAAGAGAGTCGAGAGGAGAGCTGAAGGCTCGGTCAAAAGAGAAAGGTCTTGAGACCGGCCTTGAAGGAGGAAAGGGAGGAAGCGGCGAAGGCACTGGGGATGGAGTTCCAGAGCCTCGGGGCTGAGAGGCTGATACGTCAATTACGCACAGGAACGCCCACAGTTGTGGTTAAAGCTCTGCATCAAATGCAACGATCATTGTTAACGTTCGACAGCCCTCTCTACCGGACGACGTGAACGGCTCTTAAAAGAGCCTTAGAAAGAGGGCGGAGGGAGGGGGGGGGGTTGGGGGGCGAAAAAAGATGGAGGAAAGGCGGAAAGGGAGATGGGGGGGGGGAGGGGGAAGAGAGCCTTTATTTGGAGCTGGTGTACTTGGTCACGGCCTTGGTGCCCTCGGAGATGGCGTGCTTGGCCAACTCCCCCGGCAGCAGCAGCCGGACCGCCGTCTGGATCTCCCGCGAGGAGATGGTCTGCCGCTTGTTGTACTGGATCAGGCGGGAGCACTCGCAGGCGATGCGGTCGAAGACGTCGGTGATGAAGGAGTTGATGACGTTCATGGCCCGGGACGAGATGCCGGTGTCCGGGTGGACCTGCTTCAGCACCTTGTACACGTAGATGCCGTACGTCTGCTTCCGGGCCTTCCTGCGCTTGCGCTCCTCCTTCCGGCGCGTCTTGGAGGCCGCCTTCTTCGAGCCCTTCTTGGGGGCCATGACCTTGGACGGAGCCTCGGGCATCATGTGGGGCTTCGGGGCGGACGAGACGACGAACGCCGAGAACTTGACCGACTGACTGCTCGGTCCGATCCGGTCCGGGACTTATATAGGGGCGGGTTATGCTAATGAGGGATGGGCGGGCGTCCGCGCTTTTCTATTGGCTGTTCGCCGAGGGCGAACGGCGCGTCGGGATTGGTCCGTGACCCGCGGCCAATAGGAAGCGACCGCCATTGCCCGGGAGGGGGCGGAGACCATCTTCACACCATCTCTTGCAGGGACCGGGGAGAGGGCGGGAGGGGAGGGGGAGGGGGGGGGTTGTTGCCGTCGACGGAATTATATGAATTAAAAGTTTTTTTTTGCTTTGTTTTGTTGGTTTGACAAGAAAATGCTGAGTTTGATGACCTCTCAGTCTGTTTGTTTGGGGGTAAAAACGATCAAAAATAAATATATATATATATATATTATGTCTTTATGTTCCACACGTTTCCAATGACAAAGGTCTCCCGAGGAGAGGAAATGTATATCACACACACACACGTATATATACATATATATATATATACACACCGTATATCGTACATCGTCCACAACACACAGTCACTACACTCTACAGTGTATCCCGCGAAGCGCTGTGAGACGTCTCGACGACGCGATGAGGCTCCGGGTCACACACCGGGAATGTTATTCTTATTATTTATCATTTATTCTTCATCCTTTCAGGAAACTCCCGATTTAGCCACAAAACCCCCTCTTTTTTTCCCCTCCGCCCCCGAGGGACGACACATCGGGGAACCGTCAGCTTTTTTTCGAGAGATCAGTCGGTGGCTCTGAAAAGAGCCTTTTTTTGGGGGGAAGAGGGGAAAGAAGTGAAAATAATTCATTTTAATTTCACTTTATGTTAATTAATTGTGACTGTTCTCTTTATCATCAGCGCCTCCGGGGCGCCCTCCCCTTACGCCCCACCGACTTGCTCGCCACCTGCCGCCTGGCTCCCGTCTTCTTGGCCCGGACCGCCGTCGCTCTGCCCTTCTTGGGGCTCCGGTTAGTAGTCGCCGCCGCGGCCGAAGCAGCTGCAGCGGCGGCGGCATCGGCCGAGACCGCGACTCCCGCCGCTTTCTTGGCCGCCTTCAGCTTCTTGGCGTTCCTGTGCGCCGCCGCCGCCGCCTTCCCCGGCGCCTGTTTCGGCTTCTTCTTCTTGACGGCGGGTTTCTTCACCGCCGCCGCCGCCCGCTTCTTGCCGGCCATCGTGGCGGTGGCGCCTCCCGTCACCAAAGCGGCGGTGGCGGCGGAGACGACGGCGGTACCGGCGGTTTCCTTGACCTCGATCCCCTCCGGCGCCTGGGGTTTGGGAGCCGTTTGCGAGGCTGATGCCGCGACGGTCACCGCGACGGCGCTGCCTCCTCCTCCTCCTCCTCCCGCAGCCGCCGTCGGTTGTGTCATCAATCCGCGGCCCGGTATGGTCTTCGTCACGGTCCTTCCTCCTCCGCCGCCGCCGCCTCCTCCCTCTCCTCGGCTCTTCTCCCCCTCGGACACCGAAGCCGTTACTGCGCTCTTCTTGGCGGCGGCTCCCAAACCCGCCCCTTGCCGCTCCTTCGCGGCCGTCACCGCTTCCATCACGTGCTCGGCGCCCATCTTCTGCTGACGGTACGCGCTCTTCTTCTTGGTGACCGGCGGCGGGGCCGCCTGTGCGGCTCCACCTCCACCACCACCTCCACCTCCCGCCGCAACAGCCGCCGCCGCCGTCGTCGATGAGGTGGTGGCGGCGACAGCATCGACGGCGGCGGTTTGCGGAGCGGGAGCGATGGCAGCAACGACCTCCGCCTCAGCCATCGAGACCTTCCTCCTGCGCGTCCGAGCGCTCAATGCGAACCCCCGGCGCCGGCGAAGCGCCAGTTAAAGCGGCGAGGCGGACGCGTTAGAGCCAATCTCCCCTCCGCATTTGAGTGGATGGGGAGGGAAGAGGAGACAACGAAACGGACGCTGTAGGGGCAATTGCCGCGATAGGCGGACGCGGTGGGGTGGACGTCCCCGCTCTGGAGCGTCTCCCGTCATCAGACTCCTGGCTGGGAGTCATCGGTGTCTCCTCGCATCTCTACGCTGCTCACCTGGCTCCGACGGGCTCCCCCACCGCACCCCCCGCACCCCCACCCACCGCATACCCACCATCTCTCTCTCGCTCTGTCTGTCTACGTCTCTGTCTCCTAAGAAGAGTCTGTTGGACGCCACGGCTTCGCCCTCGGGGAGGGGGGGGAGGGGAAACCAGGCGCGTCGCCACTTGCGCGCATGCGCGTCGGCGGCTCCCACCGCGTCCGCCTCGTGGCTTCAAATAAGCCCCGCGTCGCCTCAATGGCCCTCATTGGGAGCCGCGGCGGCCGAGGTGTACGGTCCCGTCTCTCGTGTTGCCCGTCTCTGTGACTCCGCGCTGGTTTGAGTCGCTCGCTCTGCGCGGAGGCGCGTTTGCGGGGAGGGCGCGGGTAGTTTAGTGTGGGGGTGAGGGAGTGGTGCGGGGAAACATGGCGAACGTCTCCCGCGGCAGAGGAGCCAGGAGAGCCCCGATCTCCGCCAGGGAAGCCGGAGCCGCGAGGCAGGTGCAGCGGCAGCAGCGCGATCCGATACCTTTGACTTCTTGCCTCGCTGCCCGGCACCCGTCCACCGCCAGGAAAGCGTTGTCGGTCGGCGGTTACGACGCGGATCGCAAGAGCGCGCGGTTCGGACGGTCGCCGAACAGCGCGGTCACCGGCACCAGGGCGCCTCTGTTGGCCTTGATGGCGCCCGGGGCGGCGGTGGCGCACCCGCACCCGCCGCCCGCTACCCAGACTCGGGCGGCGTCGACAAGAGCCCATCGCAGGCGGAGGTGGTGGGCGCCGAAGCCTCCCGTGAGCCGGAGACCCGCCGCCAGTCGCCCCACAAGCAGAACCGGGGCAAGAGGAAGCCGGCGGCGCGGACGGTCGGGGCCGAGAAGCCGGAGTCGAGGGCCAAAAAACGGGGCAAGACGTCGGTGAGGGCCCCGGGGGCCAGAGCGAAGAGGAGAGTGTGGCCGAGGAGACGTGATTGACCCCCCCCACCCCACCGGGAAACGATGGAAAGAAATGACAAGTGATAGTAAAAAAATAAGGAAACGCATTCGTACAAAAAAAAGAAAACAATTCCGTTTCAATCGTGAAGCCGAAACTAACCAACAACCACCGCCGCCCCGTGAAAGATTTCCATCGATTTTTGAAACGTTCCCGGGGTGGAAGATGCCATTAACATGCACTTCTAACGTGTTCTAAACATCTTGATTTAATAACCCCATGAATAAAAGGCGCAAAATAGTGTTCGAATGCCAGTATAAAGTATAAAGAAAAAGGGACCCTCAGCCCTGATCGGTGTGAACACCCCCCCCATTGTTTTGTCTCTTCATTCAATTGGAAGTTGGTTGTTTTTTTGGGGTGAGGGTGGGTGAAGAGGGGGAATGATATCGCAAGCCAATGGACCCGGGTTTGATTCCCGGCCGGGTGAAACTTTGGGCAAGGGAGGTGAAAACGGCGATGGGTGTGGAAAACAAGGAAGAGGTCCAGAAGAATCAAGAGATGGCGGGAAATGAGGGGTTGTTGACTTTGAGACCCTCGCGCGTTGACCTCGCAGTTGACTTCGATTCAAGTTCCTTACACTTGTGCTCAAATCCCTTCGGTCTCCGTGCGGCACCTCCCTCCCTCCCTCCCTCTCCGACCTCCTCACTCCCCCAACCCACCACCCACTCAGCGCCTCCGCTCGACTGGCACCGGCCTCCTGCTCGTCCCTCGCGCCCTCCGCCCCACCATCTTAGGTCACGCTTTCAATCACTACGCCCCGAAACAGTCACTCTCTCTCAATCTCTCCGCCTTGCCCCCTCTCTCCTTTTTCACGTCCTGCCTGAAAACCTTCCTCTTCGACTGTGCTTAGGGTCACCTAACCACCCCAACCTCCACCCCCCCCCACCCACCACCCCTGGCTCAGTAGGGCTCCGCCACCGTTAAGCTCTCCCGAGACGCTACCCTGCGTGGAGGGCCCAGTATCAGTGCAAGTTGCTGTTGTTGTGGACAACATGGATGGTGTTGAGGTGGGCGAAGAGACCGACGGAAGCGGGCGATGGATATGCAAATGAGGGATGTGAAAGGCGTCACTTCTGATTGGCTGCCATCTGCATGACATGTCGCTGGATAACAATCCCCGCGCTGGGCGGACCAATCAGAGACGAGCATTGTTCTCCATCCCCCGCCCCCCCCCTCCCCCCCCCCCCCGACATGTCACAAAAATCACTTCATTCGTCCACCCCGCCTTATTATTGTTTGTACCTGTTCAGCAATCGGACGGAAATGTCTGAATGTGGTAAATCTGGAGGGAAAAGCCACGTTAAAAGCAAGCCACGGGCATCCAGGGGCTGCCTGCAGTTCCCCATCGCCCAGATCCACAGGCTCCTTCGAAGAGGCCACTATGCGGAGCGAGTCGGGGCGGCGACCCCGATCTATGTGTCCATCGTCTTGGACTACTTGACCACCGAGATCCTGGCGGACAACGACAGGGACAACTGGGAGCAAGACCATCACCGCCATCACCACCACCATCACCACGGGCAACCTCCTCCACCCACATCCCGCCACCCCCATCTACGTTCGGGCAAACATGCAGCCGACAGAGACAACTCGTTCCAGGCAAGATCCTGAGTTTCTTGCCGCCGTACCGAATCTGTGCACAATAAAAACATTATGATTTCCAGGCATTAATCCATTCGCTGACTCTCTCTCACGATAGCTCCCAAATAAACTACACACACAAAAAAAACACTTTGCTCATTTTAAGTCACAATTATAAGTCTTGCTTGAGTTTGCAGATTTAGTTAAACTCAAGAAAACGAGAAGAAAAGGACTCGCTGTTTGTCAACCCCACAAGCTTCGTTATCTCTATCTCTTTGTTATCTCTTTGATCAATCTTGCTACCTTATGGTTTATGTCTGCCTTTAATCCAGCCGCAGTTGATAATTTTTTTTTGAGGTTGATTCTCAACCCACTTTTAGTTCCATTTAAAGAGAAATCGGGCATCAGAGCAGAACAAAGTGGTCCTCACCTTCGAAGCCCTCCATGGTCTTGTTCCCCACCTATCTCTGCGACCTCCTAACCCCCTACCCTCCTGCCCGCTCCCGACCTGCTTCACGTCCTCCACCTCACCCACCCCACCGTTGGTGAGCAGACCTGCTGCCACTTTACTCCCAACCTCTGGAACTCCATTCTGCAGTTCCCCTGCCTCACCCCCTCTCTTGCCTCCTTGAAGACCCATCTCAAGACCCTCCTCTTTGACTGTGCTTTCGATTACCCTGTTTCCGCCCTGCCCTCCACCCTCCCAATCCCGATCCCCAGCTCAGGTCCAGCACCTTGGGACGTCCTCCTGATGTGAAAGGCGCTTTGCAAATGTAATTTTGTTGTTGTAATAAGGTGGATCCCGGTAAGAATTGCTTTGGATGCCAGTGATCGAAATAAATCAAATCAGAACAACCCTTGCACAGCCTACCTACTATAAAACACACCAAGAAACTCCCCTATCCAGTCGAAATATGGAATACCAGCCTGGTTACTGAATGAAAAAACCTGTGGCTTGAGGCAAGAGATTTAAAATGTTAACTCCATGTTTGATGTGGTTTTGTTTATCTTTTAAGATGTGAAGGCGGAACCAACTCGCTGTACAACAGAATAAAATGCGTTTGAAAGCAAAACTTGCTGCAATTAATAAAATAGCGACAAAATCCTTGTGCGTCCCAGTGTAATACAAATGTAAACACGCACCTATAAAGAACTGCACTTACAGTAGCTAAATCAGTGATAAACTCACACGTTTTAGTCATTGCAGTTTACGGTATATTCCGTGAAGCGCTTCGAGACGTCTTAAAGACGTGAAGAGCGCTATATCAAATAAATACTACTGATAACAAACGCAAGCATTATTATTATTATTATTATTATTATTATTATTATTGCCATTTAGCCGCTTTGTTCCCACTGACGAGCAAAGGGCAGAGCCAGGCGAGGTTTTGAATTTGCCGCCAGATTGGAAGCATGCGCAGTGGCGTCGAGCGTCGCGCTCCGGTGGTGGGGCGACTCGCCCTGGAGCGTCCGCTTTCCCTCTATAAAACCCGCCGCCGAGTCCCGCGCTCCCCCCGTTGAGTCTGGAGCCGCCGCTGAAGGTGACGGAGCAGCGGAGCGTCGCAGTCGCCGTCGTCGTGTGGGCGCGTCGCCGCCAGACAGCCGGGATCGCATGGCTGACCCCAACTCGGACAAGGCGGTGGATTCCGCTTCGTGTGTGCCGTCCGCCTCGCAGCAGCAGCAGCACCAACAGCAACAGCAGCAGTCGCCGCCGCCGCCGCCGCCTCCTCTACACGGAGGCAGACGCCACGCCGGCGCCGCCGACAGGAGGCGGAGGAAGACCGGCAAGAAGGCGGCCCCCACCGTGGCCGAGCAGATCGTCTGGGCCGTGGAGGCCACCAGGGAGCGCCGGGGGCTGTCGCTGTCGGCCCTGAAGAAGGCGATGTCGGCCAACGGCTACGACGTGGGGCGGAACAACGCGCGCGTGAACCAGACCGTGAAGCGGCTGGTGGACAAGGGGTCGCTGGTGCGGGTGTCGGGCGTCGGCGCCTCGGGTTCGTTTAGGCTGAACCGCCGTCACCACACGGCGGCCGAGGAGAAGAAGAAGCAGAAGCCGCCGCCGCCTTCCAGCGCCAGAGCCGCCGAGAGGAAAGCGTCGGCCGTTAAGAGATCCCACCAGGGAGGGGGCGCGGTGGCCTCGGCCGAGCTGCAGACTCCGCCGCCGCCGCTGCCGCCGACCCACCAGCACCAGCCGCCTCCGCCGCCGCTGCTGTCGTCGGAGGCCGCGGTGGCCGCCGCCGCTTCGGCCGTCAAGAAGATGTGCAAAGCCAAGCGGCGGCGGCGGCGGCGGGAGGAGGAGGGTTCAAGAGGAAGAAGCAGAAGCCGCCGGTGCCGTCGCCCGGGCGCAAGGCGGGCGGCCGGAAGCCCGCGGTCGGCCGTCAGAAGAAGACCAAGGTGCCGGCCAAGGTGCCGCGAGGCGCCGGGAAGGGTCAGCGCAAGGGGCCGGCGGGCAAGCGGCTCCGAGTCGGAGGAGGAGGAGGAGGAGCCGCCGCCGTCAGGGGCAGAAGGAAGTCGCCCAAGACGACGCCGACCAAGGCTAAGCCGAAGAAGAAGCCGGGCCGCCGGCCGTACCGGAAGATCAAGGACGTGCTGGTGGCCGCACTGGGCACCAAGGAGAAGGCGGCGGCTCGGAGCTACCGCCAGTGGATGGTGGCCAAGGCCCGGCGAGCGCACGCCGGTCACAAGCTGTCGGCCAAGGGCGGCGACTGCAGGAGATGAGCGGAGAAGGAGAGGGGGAGTGGGGGGGAGAGAGAGAGAGAGAGGGTCTCACACACACTCACACACATACACAGACAGAGGGTCTCTCACCTCTTTCTCTCTCCCGTCGTCGTCTTCACACCAAAACCGACGCGCCGTTCTCCTCCCGATTCGCCCCCAAACGGAACAACAAACAAACGGCTCTTTTCAGAGCCACAACAACCCCTTCAGTTAAAAGGGAAACCGGAAACCCGGGGGTGTGTGTGTGGGGGTTAATGGGGGAGTGTGTGGGGGGGAGTCAGTGACGGTGGAGAGGAGGGACGGCATTGATGACCTTCACGCCCCTCCGAACGCACAGTCACTACACGCTGCAGTGCATCCCGGTGGAGCGCTTTGAGACGTCTCGACGTGTTTTCTCTTCAGCCCCTCTCTCTCTCTCTCTCTCTCTCTGACCCCCCCCCCACACCCCTCTCTCCCTCCGTCGCCTCCTTTGAGACCCTCTTCGACCAAACACACTTGAAGCGGCGCCTCGAGGCGTCTCAAAGCGGCTTCGCGGAATGTACTGTCAAGTGTAGTGACTGTGTGTTTGTGTGTGTGTGGGGAGGGATTGAAGTGAGACTGATTTTATTGTATTGCGATGATTTTCTTTGAAGGAGAGAGGAAGAAAGTGGCTCCGAAAAGAGCCTTTTGTTATTTTTTTTCCTCCTCGACTGACAAGTCCACGCCATCCGAGGCGCTCTGAGGCGCTCTGATGGCCGCCGGGAGGGAGGGAGGGAGGGAGGGAGGAGGCGAGTGACGTACGAAGTGAAGCGCAGCGGAGTGTTTGAATTTCGCGGGCGGGCGTCACGTGGTGGGGGCGGGGTGGTGGGGAGGGGGGGGGGCGGGGCCGCCGGCGATCGGTGTCTGTCAATCAGGATTGAGCCCCGCCCAGGTTCAGGAGGAGGAGGGGCTAGTGGGGGGGAGGGGCTAGTGGGGGGAGGGGCTAGTGGGGGGGCGGGGCGAGTGACGTTCCCGGCCAGGTCCGCCTGTGTTGCACAACAGGACTGGGAGTTGGGGGCTGTAATAATAATAATAATAATAATAATAATGGGGTTTGATAATAACAACGACCCCTGGAAAAAAAATAATAATTCGGTGGCTTCAGCCCGTGGTACAGTCACTACACCTGGCGGCGTGTCCCGCGAAGCGCTCGGAGACGGGTCTCGGAAGAGGATCCGGGGTCAAGCGCCAGGATTATTATTATTATTATTATTATTATTATTATTATTCGGTAAAAGTTCTCCACTTGCGCGAAAAAGTAATAATAATAATATTCTCTGCGTTTGCGTCGTAAAACCCCTCATCCTGACGTTTGCCTTTCACAGCCCTTTCGCCGTTCGCGTTGATCGAGAGGGGGTCGAGACGTCGCGAAGCCCCTTCGCCGGGCGGGGAGCGAGAGAGAGAGCGAGAGAGCGAGCGAGAGAGCGAGCGAGAGAGAACGAGTGAGAGAGAGAGCGAGTGAGAGAGAGAGCGAGAGAGAGCGAGCGAGAGAGAGCGAGTGAGAGAGAGAGCGAGTGAGAGAGAGAGAGCGAGTGAGAGAGCGAGTGAGAGATAGAGAGAGCGAGAGAGAGCGAGAGAGAGGGGGAGAGAGAGAGGGAGAGAGAGGGAGAGGGGGAGAGAGAGAGGGAGAGGAGAGAGAGAGAGGGGGAGAGAGAGGGAGAGGAGAGAGAGGGAGAGAGAGGGGGAGAGAGGGGAGAGAGAGAGGGGGAGAGGGGAGAGAGAGAGAGGGGAGAGAGAGAGAGAAAGAGAGTGGGGGAGAGAGAGAGAGAGGGGGAGAGGGAGAGAGAGGGCGCGAGAGAGAGGGGGATAGAGAGAGAGGGGAAGAAGGGGAGAGAGAGAGAGGGGGAGAGAGGGGGAGAGGGAGAGGGGGAGAGAGGGGGAGAGAGAGAGAGGGAGAGGGAGAGAGAGGGGGAGAGAGAGCCCCCCCCACACCCCCCCCCCCACCCCGCACACAGGACACAG